AACAGAGAAAGAGAACAGAGAAAGAGAGAGAAGAATTGCTCTCATTCTACCCCATGCCTAGTACACCAAAATGAGCATTTACCATATATGCACAATTTCTCCAGTAAGGAAGCAAAGCAGCATTCAGCTTTGCCAATGCAAACAGACAGCAGAGCCGCTGATTCCACCTGGCAATAACTCCAGCCTTGTCTACCACTGAGTGATCTTAGAAGAAAACCTCCTAATCTTTTAATGTCACTAAGAAGAGCACAAGGAAAAGGAGGCATCCTCCCTCCTTACCCATCAACAGCTCCTGCAGAGATAAGAGTGTGCTCATCCTGAAGCAGCACCACAGTTACGCTCTGCTGGAAATCCTTAAAAAGAAAAGAAAAAAGAACTTTATTTTCTTTTAAGGTCAGCAAGATCTTGCTGCTTAGTTCAAGGTCAAGTGAATACTGAGAAAACCTCCTCCTCCTAGCCACGCAGGAGAACCTGGAAATACCAGGTGACATTTAAGACACAACAATTCTTCAAACACTCCCACCAGTGAAATTGCCACTGAACAGTGAACGTCCGGGCAGCAGTTTGAGGTTATACCTTTCAGGTCAGAGATAAGAGGGCTGCCTTTATCACAAAGTTTAATAGATTAAATATTATCAGGTCTTACTCCAGTAAGGCAGTAATTTGTCAGGTCACATTAGCAGGGGAGAAAAAAACAGAGAAAAAAAATAAATATTACAACCCTCCCCATTTCCCCCCTTCAAAATACTGGCCACTGCTTTCCTCTCTGGTAAGAAAAGATGTATTTTCACATAACATTTGCACAAAGTTTGCTTTGAAGGCACATGTGTTGTTAGACAACCAAACAAAGTCTAAAATTAGCCGTAGCAAGTGACCTTGACACAAAAACCTACTTCTGCAAAGATAAATGGAAGCATTTACCACATACAAGCCACACATTTCTCACTATGTTTACTTAGGAAGATTTCTGTGCATAACACTGTCCCCAGAGAAGAGGCTTACATTTTGTTTGTTCTCCAGATACCTACCACCAAGGGAGCAAGTCCTCTTAAGTTCTGCCTCTTCTTCTTAGGTTTGGAAGGAGTCTGCTTGTCAACCACATTGTGTGCACCACTGATTTGTTTCACCTGCCTGTAAAATCCATCTGAAAGAAATCAAAGGCATCTCCAGTAATAGTTTCCATGCAATTTCCCTATCACTTTAATAAAACAGGTATCAGCTTGGAATTAGTCCTAAGAGGTGGCTGAGACTAACCTTTAAAATCATTCATGTATTCTGAAAACAAAAACTGTTAGTTTTATATGAAACCAGTGAGAACACAGTAAGAACCAGGAACATATAATGCAGAAAACTACAGAGGTCAGTGTAGCATGGACACTGAAACTAAAACTGATCTGAGCAGGCTGCCTTTAGAAATCATTACCCCTTAGTCTGGTTTTCAGCATGCATCCTAGTCTGGAGCATTCAATTCATCCCAAGCAGAACTGTGCTCACAGTGCTTTTCTACTCTATTTTATAATTTTCTATTTAGCCTTTTGTCTGCTACTTCTCACTCTATGAAACTTATTGCTTTACTAGAGTAATGCAACTTTCTTATTTTTTTTTCCCTACACGTTCCACTTCAATCATGTGGAGTCTCTCTTTTCCCCCACTTGTCCATTTGAAGAGCCAGGGAAACCTGGGACAGATGGAAGACTGAGACATGTTCTGGCAGTGCAGGCAAGGAAGTTGCTCTGACAGATCAGAAAACTGGGAAAAAACATATGGGCATAACCTGACTGGGGAAGGAGAAGCTCCAGGAAACAGAGAGGAGCAGAGTGAGCTCACCCTTGCATTTACGGTAGGTCTTCCCACATTATATTCAGTTACTGCCAGCACTCACAAGTTCCTTTGCTTCTGCACTTCCTCCCTTTTCTCCCTCTCTAGCAGAAGTCTTTCCAGCTTTTCTTCATCCCTCCAGATGGCTCTGACCCAAGCAGTCTCTCCCAGCTCATCTGGTTTTTGTGCTGTCTTAACAGGGATGTATTCCATACCCCCTTATCTCCTTACCAACACACAGGGTATTATCAAGCCAGCATATGCATCATGCTGCAAACCTGAGACTATTACAAAGCAGAAATATGCATTATACACAGAAGAGATACCTATTCCATCTCTTTACGGTAGTAAAGCAGTAGTTATGTGACAATCCTCCCCTTTTACTGAAGTTTTGCCTATATTTTAATAAAAAACATTAGTCCAAGAAGTAAATCTGAGCAGTACTTTTAAATGAGATAGCCAGCTTTTTTCATACATATCTGAAAGTTCATTTACCTTTCTTGTTGCATCTGGTATCCCAAACCATGATGTTTCCATCTCTGCCTCCAGTACAGAAGACAGCTGAGAGGGAGAAAAAGAGCACTATTAGCTTCCAAAAATGTTAATTAACTGAATGCTGTACAATGCCATCTATGCTCTCTGGCTCTTCTGCCTCAACACCTGGGATACCAGTCCTGGAAATACATAAAACAGGCCATTGCTTTGCCACGCTTTTTGATTAGCTTCCTTACTTTTCCTGTTCCCTTTTTTTACTAATACTCTAGAAAAACCCGCTTATGAAAAGCACATTCACACACTTTTGTATGGAAGCAGATATTCTATCTTTACTTTGCCCAAGATCAGAGAAGTGCAGACATTAGCATCAGGACACCATCAAGTTCCAGCAAGTTAGTTCTGCTTCTCTGGCTGGGTCCCTCCTCAGTCGGCCTGTGATATTGTACCCATCAGTTTCCAAAGCCCTTTTTTAGCCCTTAAAGTACTCTCTGCCAGAGAGAAAGAGGAACAAACAGGGAATATCAACATTTACCTTTCTCAAATCTAGAAAAAGCAACTGACTTGAGGCTACACTGGTGACCTTTGCATATGCCAAGAAGCTCACCAGCAATCACATCCCACACCTTGGCTGTCTGATCTCCTGAAGCAGTGACCTTCAGAAGGAAAAAAAAAAAGCTTTAGTCATTTTCTGTACACAGTTGCCAAAGCATTAAAAATAAAGTTAGAAGGCAAAAGACTGCTTACAATCCTGTGTTCCCCTGGTACCCAGGCAAGGTCAAATACAGCGTTTGAGTGAGCCTGCCATTCTAACAAGAAAACAAAAGCCAAGATTAGTTCAGCATCGCAGCACAATATTTTGCAGAAGACTAAAGGACATCAGACACTGAAATCAGAAATCTTGTCAACAGGTTGCTTAGGCATGAAAAACAACATAGAACAATTCACCTACTATTGCTGTTTTAACAGCACATTCATTCTCCTGCTTTCTTAAGAAGACTAACAAAGTATGTGAAAGGATTTAAGTACTGCCTACATTTATGTTTTAACGACTTGCAAAAAGCTTACTTTGGTTCCAGTAAATCCCATACTTGTAACATCAAATAAAGATCACCTTCTACTCAACACTTACCTTTAAAGATGAGTTTGCTGGTAGCTTGAGTTTCAGTATCATAGAGTCTAACAAATCCTTCTTCATTTGCAACTGCCAGTACATGCTCCCAATTTGGAGCTGAAAAGAAATTGAAACATAATATATTATGTAGCTAATTCACACTCAAGCCCCTGTTCTTTGTAAAGGGACACAGACTCTTTAAACAGAGTACATAGAAAATAGATAGCTGTAAAATAAACAGTATTTACATAGCAACTTCAATGTCCAAAATGCAGAAATATTGGCAAGCATTTTTTCTAGATGTTCCATGCAGGAGTAACTGTACATGGGCAACCAAATGGCTCCAGGAGTAACTTTTGAGAGAATGTCCTCTTTCACTAGCTACAATCGTTCTCTAGTTACAGTTTTCTGTGTCTATACTACATATCACCTACGGCCTCCAGTAGTTTTCATGATCTGAGTTGTAAAAGCAGGAAGCTGCCTTGGAGAAAAAGTAAAAGCTCACGCTGAAACTAGAGTACTATGAATGAAAGAGTTTAGACCCAAAAGATCCAGGAGCTTCCACGTTTACTCCACTCCGTTTGTGCTCCCCATGGAGAAAAGCTGTGTGTGACAGCCTGGTGACATGCATCCACCTCTTTGGTTTCTACAGACTGTTCTCCATCTTTTATATATTTTGAACAGAGCCCAGTTTTTCACCTATGTAGCCTCGCACTATCACCACGAGGACAGTCATACCTTGAAACAGACACAGCTAAAATAAAGAGGTATTAAAACAAATGCTCAGTAGTTGCTTCTTCAAGGGAATACTTTCCACCAGTGTATCTAGGAGCACCACGATCCAATGTATATCACATCTAGGAGCAAGTACACTGATACCAGCTCGTTTTAAAGCAAGGAAAGTCTGAAACCAAATCGTGAGACAGATTCAAATAGGAAAAAGAAAAGCTGACAGCAGTGCCCGCGCCTTGGCCCCCACAAGGGCTTTCAGAAGGTGACTCTACCTGTAGAAAAGGTGCAGCCGAAAGGCGGGACCGGCATCCCCGTTGCCCCATAAGACAGGTGGTCATCTTCCCGGCTGCACTGGTAGCCATCCAAGAGATGCTGCAGGGGAAGCGGCGGCGAACGACCTGCAAGCGGGAGAGACGGACCGTAAGCGCCCCAGACACGGCGAGCTCGGGCACCGGGAGCCCCGCGGCCGCCGCAGGGGCTGTGGAGGGGCGGGGGCGGGCCGGGACGCGGAGCGGCCGTGCCGCGGTACCCACGGTCTGTGGCGGTGACGGCGCGGCGGAGCAGCGCGCGGCACAGCATGGCCGCGCGGACACGGCCGGCGCGCGCCAACACAACTCCCGCCAAAACGACCGGCCCGCCAAGCCCGCGGCGCGCCCTCATTGGCCGGCGGGGAGCGCGCGGTGCCCCGCCCCCCTCCCCTGGTTGGGCTGTGCTGGGGCGCGGATGGGGGCGGGGCCCCGGAGCCACACCCACCACCCGGTCCCGCGGCCGCGGTGAGTGGGGGGCGGGCTCGCGCCTGCGCGGGAGCGGCCCGCAGGCGGGAGCGCGGCTGCGCGTGCGCGGGGCGGGCGGCGAGGGGCAGGAATGGCGTCCAGCGCCAAATCGTTCCTGGCCGACGCGGGGTATGGCGAGCAGGAGCTGGACGCCAACTCCGCGCTCATGGAGCTCGACAAAGGTGAGGCCGCGCCGGCTCGGGGTTGTCGCGGGGCCGGGGAGGGAGCTTGGCTTTATGCCTCTTTATCTGCAGCGCGGGCGGAGGGAGGATCTGGGTCCGGAGGTATCTGCGGTAATTCCTGTGTTCTCGCTTAGGCCTCAGGTCTGGCAAACTCGGGGAGCAGTGCGAAGCCGTGGTTCGTTTTCCCAGGCTCTTCCAGAAGTATCCCTTCCCCATTCTCATCAATTCGGCGTTCCTAAAGCTGGCTGATGTCTTCAGAGTGGGGTGAGTGCCATCGGGCAGCTTCTCCCCATTCAAATCTCCGGTCTGTAGGACTCGCACTTGTGAACGTGTCCATCTTTAGTGGACTTAAGTGGCTATGAGTGATCAATGACAGAGTTCCGTTTTCGTCTATCCTGATTTGAGGATTCTCTTCCTGATTGATTTAAATTCACCAGTGTAACGTCTGCTTCACAGGCACATTCAAATTCATAATTCTTAAATAGATGAATGGTCATATGTGCAAACTTTGAGTCATGTAATGTTAATAACAAAGCTCAAAGTATAGATTTTCGAAATGCCTGTTATCTAAGTGATGTGCCTAATAGAATCGGACCTACTTTGGAATAATTTAAAAAGTTAAGTGTGGATGTTGTGGAATCTTCACTTTGGCTTCAGGAAGGGAAAGAAATTTACTCATGCCTGACAGTGGCAATTAGGCTCTCTTGCCTTAGTCTTGGATGTGTTTTTCTAGAAGAATTGTATCCCTAAGTGTGCTCAAAATAGGCATTTGTTTATCCTCCTCCTCACTGGTGCCAACTGGTTCATTTCCCTGGAATTGGGCCTAAATCTGACACTACCAGAACTAGAAAATAAAACAATAGTGTGTTGATAGTCCCTTTTCTATTACATCAGTTTACTCAAACATTTCTAAAGCGTAGACATTTCCTTGTTTTAATTTTCTTTCAGAAGTTGCTTTAAAATAATTTAGTGTTTAAAGTGCTTCAATTTTTGTTATAAAGTAGCCTGACAAAGAAATGTGTGTATTTTCTAATAGGAACAACTTCCTGAGGCTGTGTGTGCTGAAAGTTACTCAGCAGAGTGAGAAGCACTTAGAGAAGATCCTAAATGTGGATGAATTTGTCAAAAGAGTTTTCTCAGTAATTCATAGCAATGACCCAGTTGCTCGGGCTATTACACTCCGGTATGTATTACATGAATGATCTTAATTTACTTCATATCTGTAGCTAGTTACCAGTGTGCTGGCCTGGAACAACAAGGCCAAGTGCAAGGTGCTGCACCTGGGTCGGGGCAACCCCTGGAATCAACACAGGCTGGGGGAGGAAGGGGGTGAGAGCAGCCCTGCTGAGAAGGACTTGAGGTGCTGGTGGATGAGAGGCTGGACGTGACCCAGCAATGTGCACCCACAGCCCAGAAAGCAAATCGTGTCCTGGGCTGCATCAAAAGCAGTCTGGCCAGCAGGGTGAGGGAGGGGAAGCTGCCCCTCTGCTCCACTCTGGCGAGACTGCACTTTGAGCACTGCACTGCATCCAGCTCTGGGTTCCCCAGCACAGGAAGGACATAGACGTGTTGGAGGAAGTCCAGAGGAGGCCACCAAGATTATTAGAGAGATGGAGCACCTCTCCTAGGAGGAAAGGCTGAGAGAATTGGGGCTGTTCAACCTGAGAAGAGAAGGCCTTAGAATGACATATTTGCAGCCTTCTGCTGTCTGAAGAGAAACTACGAGACAGATGGAGTGGGACTTTTCACGAGAGCATGTAGTGATAGAACAAGGAGAAATGGCTTCAAACTGAAAGAGAGTAGATTTAGATTAGATATTAGGAAGAAATTCTTTTCTGTTGGTGCCTCCAGTGAGGCACTGGAACAGGTTGCCCAGAGAAGCTGTGGATGTCCTATCCCTGGAAGTGTTCAGGGCCAGGTTGGGTGGGGCTTTGAGCAAGCTGGTCTAGTGGAAGGTGTTCCTGGTCATGGCAGGTGTGATGGAATCAGATGATCTTTAAGATCCCTTCCAACCCAAACTGTTCTATGATTCTATGAATGAAATATAGAAGGCTTTTTATACGTTGCTCATGGAATTAAAAGCAAAGACATCTGTCTTTAAAGGGGGTAAATGATAAAGATCTGTGATCAGAACAACAAGGTTATTAATCATTAAAGATAGTGAGAATTTTGTGGATGGCTCCAGGTAAAACAGAATTTGCAGTGCTGAAATTTTGTGTACTCAGGAGAAGAAAACTGAACCTTGTTGTATGCATAACCCAGACAGTAGCCATATGCAATATATATTGCCTATGATATATTTAGACCAGGACCAAAAGGAAAGTGCTTCCTTGCACGTCAAAATAATTGTTGTTAACTTGTAACCAAAGCTTATTGGAACCTTGTTATGCTTGCACCTCTTTTTCATTCGTAGTTGTCCTACAAGTTTACTGCTTGTTGGTCTCTGATCAAAAACTTCTGAGGAAGTGCTGTTGTACTGTTTGGACTTCCTAGGAATCAAATCGGAAAACAAAGAAAATAAACCTGTCTTTAATGTCATTGTCTTGCTGCTTTGGTGTCTGTGTCTCCAGCACTATCCAACATCATCATCTTAACTGCATCTTCCAACCCCTATGCTAGTGAATGTGAATGTGAAGAGCACTTTTCTTTTTCCCTTTATATTCTTTTTTTTTTCCTCTCCATTTAAAACTGTTACTGATTTCACTGTTGAAAGATGGGAGGCATTAATGGGTTTGATTGACTACCTCATGTGTCCACTTCTTTTTTCTTTTGATATTTCATTTGAAATTATGCTTTCATGCTCTGGTCACAGAAATCTTTAAATACAATGGGACTACATGTTTTCTTGTAGTTCCCTATCGTATTCTAACATACATTTGCAGTTGTTGACTGGCACTGAGAGCAGCCTGCTAGAAGTCTCAGGAATCCACTCAGTTTGAAAAAATACTTAAATTACAAATAAATTCACATGATAGATCAAGTGAAATGTTAAAAGGGCTGTTGGTTCAGCAGTTTCAGATTAAAGTCTTCTATTGGTTTGGTTTTGTCCTTGAATAGTGTCAGAAAGAGAGAACATGTAGAAAGAAAGATCTGCTAAAACAAAACTTGGTGGAATTTTATTGCTAGATAACTGTGTGTAAATATTTGCACAGAACTCTTGCTAAAATTACCATCAGTGTTACCATCCTGCGTTCCTTCTTCTTTTGTTATGCTAAATATGTCTGAAGGGTACCTTCATAGCAAAGTTTAAATTGACTTGCAACTTTGTTAGCAGTTCTACAAAAGGTATTGAACTATTCCTACTAATAACCTTATCCCACATCAGTGAAAGATCTTGGAAACAAACTATGAAAGACATTTGATTACTTGATCATCGTAACTACTCAAGAAACTTCTCTTTCACAGCATGTGAACTTATTTACTTCTACAGTCTTAATTAGGAAGAGGGATAGAAAAAGTAGAAACTAAATTAGCAGTTTTCTAAATGTGTTTTTATATCCCCCTAGACTATCACATTTTTGAATTTATATTTCATGGTGTTCTTCATGTGTGTCCTAAAATAGCCATCAGTACATTTTAGTGTTAAATCTGTTGTATTAATATCAGAGTTTGAATGTAAAAGCATCTTAAAAATGCTTATTCCTGGTGCCATAGTGCACTCTTAATTTTAAAAGAATTTTTGGTTAAGTTTCTCACTGTACAATTTCAATCTAAGAGGTATCATAATTAAGTTTTTATCAAACCACTGACATAACCCACATGACAAAATTTGTTACCTTTTAGTTATATGTCTACTTTTAGCATTTGCTTGTTTCTATAATAGACAGGAAAGGGCACATACTTATAGAAAAAACAGTATTTTAACCAGTCATTTTACATTCCTATTTAGTTTCGTCTTACATTTCTTCTGGGATCATCGTTCTTCCTGATTTTTCTGTGATTCATTTCTGTAGGATGTTGGGCAGCATGGCATCTATTATTCCAGAAAGGAAGAATGCACATCATAGTATTCGTCAGAGTTTGGATTCCCATGATAATGTGGAAGTGGAAGCTGCTATATTTGCTGCTGCCAACTTTTCTGCACAATCTAAGTAAGATTTTTTTTCAATTCCATTAAATAGAAATTTAATGATAGTGATATCAGTATCATTTATAGCAAAGCATTTAATTATGTGCAATAATAGTATTGTAGAGAAACCTGAGTACAAGTTTAACATGATTTTTTTTTTGAAAATGGAAAGCTCATAAATATGAGAATTCAAAAAGTGCAATAGGAGCTTTAATCAAGGATTATTTTACAGAAATTTTATTAGGGAGCAAAATGTAGTGCTGCTTGTCATTTTGGCACATTTTTTTGAAAGCTTCCATTTTATCATTTGATCTTGCCCTTGTGCAGAGGTTCTGAAAAGACCTTGGTCTTGGCAGGCACTTTTTTGGGAAGGTTTTTATTGTTAAAACACCGTGTTTGGTAGTTCAGTTGATTTTTTTTAGATCTAATTTCTAATTTTTTCATTACTTAATTTTTTAGTTTTCATTTCACCTGGTACTTTCTTTTCTCTACAGGGATTTTGCTGTCGGAATATGTAATAAAATCAGTGAGATGATTCAAGGTACGTGTGTATATTGAATGATAAAAGGGAAAAGCTTTAATTTATCTGAAAATTCTTTATTATTCATATTTCCATACTAGATACCAGAATGCTGTTGCCCTCATACTCAGATAATTCCAATTTTTAAATTTAATTAGCTCACCAATAATCCAATGTCTGGCTCTTATGTCCTCTTAAAATCTAAGTTCTCGAAGCACCTGTTTGGTACAGAATAAAAGCTTATCTACGGTAGATGAATAAACTTACACAGACTCTCACGGGTTGCTTCAGGTGAGTTAATAAGTGTGCTACCTGCAGTGAATCAAGGAGCAGCTTTCTCAAACAGCCATGAAAGCGCTCGATACTGGTGTTGTTACACACCTTCCCCCTATTTGGAGCCAGTGCATGTGTCTGCACAGTCTGCATTCAGCAGATGAGGCACGTTGTGTCCCTCAGTGCTGCCAAACGCCGGTACAAGGACTGACACTCCGCCTGTTCCCTTTCCTTGTTGCAGGGTTGGCCACACCCGTGGATTTGAAGTTGAAGTTGATCCCCATTCTGCAGCACATGCATCATGATGCCAGCTTGGCCTCCAGCTCCCGGCAGCTGCTCCAGCAGCTGGTGACATCCTACCCCTCTACCAAGATGGTCATTGTTACTCTGCACACCTTTACTCTGCTTGCTGCTTCTTCTTTGGTTGACATTCCTAAGCAGGTAGTTCTTCCTAATACATTAAGTACTAAGTACATTTGAAAATAATTCAAATTCTAGGTGGTTCTGTTTCCAGACAATCTCATCAAACACATTAAGCCTTTTTTAAAAATCATAACCTGTCTTTCTTAAAGTCAGCTGGTATTGAAATCAGCTAGGAACGATCAGCATTCAGGAAAGCAAACACCCTGACTTTTTCTGAAAGCATTTCGTTGTGCCTGTAGAGGCCAGCCTTCACTTTCCACTGCTGTATATTGCCTTGTTGTTTGGGGGTGCCTTTTTCTTTCGTGCAAGCGAATGAATGTTTCAGTAGCACAGAATGCATTTTAAAAGGTATTTCTTGAAGAACTTTGAGAATTTGAGTCTGTTGCTTAAATTTAGGACTGTACACCGAGTAATGGGAAAAGCGGTGATGGAAAAGTACGATGCTTTTATGCTCTGGTAATGAGCTTTGTGGATGTGATTTATATAGCAGATCTAAACACAGTGACACTTGAGACTCATCTAACTAATCCTTGTAAAGTAGTCATGAAAATCTATTTGCTTTATTTCAGTCCTGTACAGCTGAAAGTGGGAAGCTGGTGTCTGTTACTGTTAGGCTAATAGCATTGATCTGTCTGAAACTTTTGGTATGGCTCATTTCTGTATTTCAGAGGATGCTTTTGATAGTACTGAATCTAAGTCTACTGAAACAGCATTAGAACACTTAATGTGCTGCTTTTTTTTTTTTTTTTTTAATGGCAGTAAGCGTGAAGATTTAGGCTGTATTTCTGCAGCACAACAGCAGCCAATACTGCTTAAAACTGATGTAGTCATGGTGGGGAGGTTCAAGCTTTTTCATGTCCTGGCTATTCCCTGCTTGTAAATTTGCAGACAATGAGCACAATAAAGGACACGCAAGCAAGTGTTGCTTACACTGAGATAAATGCTTCAGAAGGTGTGGGTAGGGATTATTTTGTTTGGTTGGGATTTTGGGGGTTGTTTTTGCAACTGCTGAAGTACAAGGTATGTCTCTCTTGCTATCTGTTAAGTGTAGATCACACAGATGCCCAAATTAGCATCAAATGCCCAGAATACTGGTTAGCAGCATAATCACAACAGTTTAAGATGTTTACTGAGTTTCTCAAGGATGTTTTGTGGTATTTCTGAGTGCTGAAACTTATCTTGAAGCTTCTCGCATACACAGGGTTGTGTAGAGAAGGGTACATGAACAAGGAGAGCAGGATGGTAAAAAAATGCCAGACTGTTTTAGCTTGCAGTGGCTTCACGGTCATGAGACAAGCAATCAGACAGATAGGGCAAGTTAATTTTGGTAGAGTATGCTCAACATTTCTTCAAGAGTGCTTTTGAAAAGACTTCCTTCTAGTAGCATGTCTCCTCTTAAACAATGAATTTATTTCACTGCAGATCCAGCTTCTGTTGCAGTACTTGAAAAATGACCCCAGGAAGGCTGTGAAGAGGCTTGCAATCCAGGATTTGAAGTTGCTGGCCAACAAGACACCACATACATGGAGCAGAGAAAATATTCAGGTTCATACATTTTTAAGCTGAAGTTTAAACTTTCTAATTAGTTGTAGGATTCTTTCTAGAAGAACAGCTTGGGAGGTAAAGGAAGGAGGGACGTGCATCTCCGTGTCCTTAGGTTAGGTTACTGTGCCAAGCAGAGTAGCCAAGTACTAATGAGCAGTTCATAGAACATCCTTTTTGGACAAGTTGACACATAAGGATCAAAATTGAAGTGTTACAGATGAGGAAAGGCATGTGTAATGTAGTAGGCCTTTTTAGAACAAGGAAATAACTTTTCCATCTGACAAACTGATCCGAGGTAATAGACATGAGAGCTGAATGTTTACATTAATCTTAAAATACTGAGTACACATGAATGCTTTCATGTAACACAGAGTTTCTGGGATTTGTCAAAGCATGTCGTCCAGCAAGGTATACCTGAAAGGACAAGTGTCATTTTGACTTCTTTTCTTAGGATTAATGGCTTATTTTCAATAGTAGCCTTGTGACTCCCATAGTATGAGACCCTAGACAGTGTTTATAGTGCACCTGTGCTATTTAGGGAAACCGTTGTTATACTGTAGATACTATCACTGCATTCTTTCAATCACAGTTGCCTGTGAATATTTTTTTCTCCTTGTCTTTCTCTTTTTCTGGTAGAAATAACTATAGGAAATAACTTCAGGTTAGATTAATGGGAAAGTAAATATTTCCAGAACTTAATGGCAGAGGGTTACAGCTCTAGTTTTTTCTAGGTCATTTTTTCTTTGCTTTTGCTACCCTTGGAAGCTACTTTTGTTCTATGTTGTTGGAGCATAAGGCAGCTGGGAGGAAAAACTATGTGGGTTTTTGTTAACAATCATGTGAGAAATAAAGCATGTTCTGGTTTGCCCCTGATTCTTAGAGATGACGATTTGGAGCGTGCAGGGGTTTTTGTTTAAGTGAACTGTTTTGTTCTTCATAATGTATTAATACCAGAAAGGTATTTTTAAGGAGTTGCTTTATGGATTGTTTTATGGATTCTTTGCTGTCAAAATGCTACTCCTTTATGTCATGTTAGTAGTAGATGTTGATAATGTGTCTTTCATCCTCACATAGTGTCTTAAAGTTTGTGTCCTAATGTTTGAAATGCACAGGGACAAGTTCCATTGAACTAAATTAGTGACTACGTTAAAACAAGATCAATTGTCTGAATTTTCTGCTTTCTGAATGGCATGCAGAAATAATAAGAATTTTTCTGCCTTCTGAAGTATAAAGTCAATATTTAGAGAAGGGCAATTTGTTCTCCATATATTTAAATGACTTAGTAATGTTTATACAACAGAGATTGGAACAAACCCTCCTTCTCTCATGGCAAGACTTGCTTCTTGTACCTTTTTAACAACAAAAGTTGGTTAGTTTCTTCAGCATTTTGGGTCTGTCAGGTGGGAAGCTTGGTCTTTGAGTTGTGGAGACTTCACTTATTCTAGACATCAGCTTTAGAAGCTGTTGCTGTTGATGCCTAGAGCAGTCCTTCTGACTCCAAAGGTAACCAGCACTCTGTGCTCCATCCTGCTAGTTCTTCTGTGTTCCTGGCATTCTTCAAAGTTCTGAGAGGGAATCTAATAGCACTGGAGTAAAACATCAGTGTCTTGGGAGATATTGAGACTCATTTTCAACCCTAATAATTGTCTCTTCCTCTGTCTGTTGATGCCATACTATTTAATGGATTAGCAAAGTATTAATTGGTACAAATTACAGATGTACTTAGAATTTAACCCTTATACCATACACATGCCTGACTGATAAGAACACCACGGGGTTTTTTTTTTTGTTCTGTGGAACTAATTCTGTGTTGTTGGTTTTTTTAATTCAGTTACTCGATGTTATCATTCAGCTTTGACACTCTCTGAGGCAAAATATGCTTATATTTTCAGTTTGTATCTCATATTACTGTCCCTCTGTTGACTAAAAAAACCTCAAAATCAGTGAATGACTGTGGACAGTGTTGACATAATGACTTGAGAACAATGTGCATTTTAAGAGTTTTTCCAACCTAGATCTGATAAGGCCTGACGAGATGTGGCAGAAGACACATAAGTATGATGGCATATTCAACTATAAATGAATTAAAAATAAAATATGCTTATTATTTTTCTCAAGGAACTTAAACTGTATTCTGCTGGACACTAGTGCTGGTAAGGGAAATGATTTTTGAAACTTTGGTCTTCAGAGGTGTGTATTTACATAAAACCCTGCAGATTGCTACAAAGCAAAATAATCAATATGCCTCTGAGACTGGAGAAACTGACTTAAAATCTTGTGTAATTTTTGATCAATGAGACCTGATAATATTTTTGCCACTCATTTTTAATTAATAAGTGACTTATAATTGATGTTTCATAGCAGATAAGAAAGACTCCCTGTCACTTTTCTGCCAACCAGATCCTCAGTCTTCTAGAACAGTCGCTTGATTTTAGTATAGTATTTTCTGTAGGAAAATTTTGACTCTCAAGACTTTTCGGAGAAGTGCAATTACGTTTTTAATACAGGTTGCTCGTGGGACTTCTTACCTCTGTATCTTTTTTCTTGCTGATCTTTAGGCACTCTGTGAATCCGCTCTTCACACTCCTTATGACAGCTTGAAAATGGGCATGTTATCTGTTCTTTCCACATTATCAGGGACCATTGCCATTAAACAGTACTTCAGCAGTGCTCCAGGTAAGAAAAGATGGTTATCTTTGGCATTTCTAATAGGTTGGTTTTGTACGAATGATCAATTGCATCTAAACAGTTTGTAGTGTATTCTTAAACTATTTTTGAACTGCAGAATACTGGGTGAGAGTCAGGCTGTGCTTATCATATGTAAACTTAAAGTGAGATGCTGCATACCCATGAATAATCATGGTCTCCGATTTCCTTCTGTTTTGTGGGTCCTATAGTATATGATATGGGGTTTTACCTTTGGGTCTTCAACATTTCTTCACTTTACAATCACAAGTGTTGCCTCTCAAATGGCTGACCTGCGTTCTGTTTAAGTGTTGCCGTTTATGTCGTGTTGGTCCAATAAAAAACACACAAGAAGGCTGATTCAGGGCCACATAAGAAAAGGCCTCTTCTTTATTAAATCCCAGCTCCTTTTATATCATTTTCAAAAAGCAGCAACCAAGCAGCGAGCAAGTAGCAAGGAAGTAGCAAGCAAGCAGCAACATCCTAATTGGCCACTCATCATTACCGATACACTTGGCAGGAATCATGAGACACCTGGAGATTCCCAAGGATGAGGCTCTGGTTCTCACATACCAAATCTACGGGCTCACAGTCCGCCCTCATTCCCCAATTAGCCTGTGTGTAAAACTTACTTATCTTCAAGGCCACACTCGAAAGTTTTCCAAGTCAATCTCCTCTTCCAGGGAGCTAACAGACCCGCTGTTAACCTCTACACTTAAGGTGCTTTCAAACCCTGGATTTGCACTGTTCTTGAATAGCAGGGAGGCTTCATGGTGTGAGAGTGGGCTGGCATGTTACCCTGGTACAGTGAAGCTGGGCAAAATGACCTGCAGCTGTACCAGGTGAACCTTTCTGCCTTGTCACAGTATTCTGGAGAAATGGAGTAGGCATTTAAAAGTGATTCAAGGTATCTTGTTCCTAGAATTATCATCATGCTGTTTTCTTTTTTCTTCCTGAAAGCCAGACTGCCCTAATGAGTATCATGAGCCCAACTACAGCAACTGCAGAAATGGGGAAAAAAAAAAACAAACAAACATTCTCTTCAGTCATTCTGGCATGTCTGAATAGTTAATATGCTCAGCAGCTTTTTTAATCAGACATAATATTTCTTAAGGCAATATTTCTCTGAGTCCTGAAACATCAACCTTTAGAACCAAATGTTCTTTCTTATGTGTGTCCAATTTGTGAAGTGTTCAGGAATGGGAAAGTCTCTGTGTGTGAAGAGAGAAAGATATTTTCATCCTATCATTTAAACATAACAAAAAAATCTGAAGTCAGTATAGTTGTTTTGTAGAAATGTACTTAAAAATCTGTGGTATATTTATGGACTGTTAAGTTTTATGTTCTATTTGCCTTGTCTTTATTTAGGAACAGCAGCTACAACTGCAAGATCATTTGATTTAGTAAAGCTAGCACAGGAGTGCTGTTACCATACTAACCGTGGTATTGCAGCTCATGGTGTGAGAATTCTGACTAATATATCAGCCTCTTGTCAGGAAAAGGGTAAGTGAAAGCAAGGACAACAAAGTGGGTCCGTTTACAATCAGGCTTATGCACTTAACACGTATTAACTGGTCCTGTCTGTGAACCTGTCTGTAAATCTGTCTGATCCTTCATGCTAGTTAGGAAGAATGGGGACTATAACCTAGTAGAAAATACTCAGATTTTATGAATGGTTGAGAAGATTCCATCTTCGTCTAATTTAGAGAAAATTACTGGGCATAGTAGAACTGGTGCTAAATAAAGGCTTGTTTTCCTTTTTGCTGTAAGACCAGTGAATTGTTTGTCAGCCTTTGAAAACGCTTTGCACAAAATTTGTTGCAAAAGAATAACAGAGCATTTAGAAGCCTTAGTCCGGAGGTTTATGCATGCTTTCCAAATGTCACAGTTGCTGTGACTGCTGAATAGTTACCTGAGACATGGAATGGCAGATTTGTTTCTAATCAAAGTAAGGTAAGGACCTTATTAGGGAGATATTTGTCTGTCATGACTGCAGCAGCAGTGCAAGTATTAAACTGAGTATGGTAAGAAAACAGCACAGAGAACAAATTAACTCTGCTTTTCTTTTTGTAGATCTTCTGCCTTTGGAGCAAGATGCAGTTTTTGGCTTAGAAGCTCTTCTTGTTCTTTGTAGTCAAGATGACAGTCCAGGAGCTCAGGCAACCTTAAAGGTAACATTACTCTTGTCTTCCCCTAGCAAGCTGTAAGTTATAGTAACACCCTGTATAACAGCAGCTCATGTGCACCATATCCTTTCTGGTGGAAGCATAACAGACTGGTGGGAAATAAAGATTTTTCTGGTTTGCCCATAATCAGAATCCAGAGCTCAAGAGAAACTGAGCACAACTATAGTGCACCATCTCTCAGCTCTACAGTAAGTGAATTGTTCCGTGGATGGAGGGAGCCTTCTTCTCAGAGGAACAGCTGTAATAAAACATGAACTTGAACATTGGATGGAGCTGTTCTCTGGAGAAAAAAAGGATCTTGGAGAGAACTTGTTTTGTGGAGATCAAGATGCAATGTACATGATCACAACACTTTTATTATTTCTTTTTTTCCCACTTCAGAAACTACTATCAGTAATTTTTCTAGTTATTTACCTGTAAGGGTTGGTGGTGTGACAAAAACTATGAACAATTCTTTAACTTGCGATGTGTTTTTGTGCAATGAGCTCAGGGACAAAGGCTTGGGCTCTTAGAAAAATCTGATCTTTTGTAGAGTACATGGTTCTGAAAATACCAGATCTATATTTCTGCAGTCGTAGCTGCAGATAAGTAAGTGTGCCTGGCTTTTTTCTTTTTTGAGGAGACATCGTGCTTATTGCTCCTGTTGATTGTGTGAATTGCAGATCACGTTAACTTGTATGGTGAAGCTGGTCAAGTGCCGTCCTCATCTGAGCCAGTCAGTGGTGGAGTCCCTGCTGACGCAGCTCCAGAGTGCCCAGGATAGTGCCAGGATTCTCATGTGCCACTGTTTAGCTGCTATTGCCATGCAGCTGCCTGTCCTAGCAGATGGGATCCTAGGAGACCTAATGGACCTCTATAAATTAATAGGACAATCTGCCACAGATAAGAAACAGGAGCTTTTGGTAAGGCCTCCCTTGATGGATAAAAGTCTGTATAAACAACTGTGGATGGATTGTGTTTAAAAAGGCCGCTAAAACATTTATGTCCAGGTTAATGTGCCAATCTATAGCCACTATTTTCAGTATTGTTTTAACTTTTGAATACATATGTCAGTGCTTAGTGTAGAAATATTTCCTAGATGGAGCTGAGCTAAGCAGTGTATTCCATTAGAGTTTCCAGCAGGTGGCACTGCTTAGACAAACCTGAAATTGACAAATTGACAATTGAAATTATTGGGGTATCTCTAAAGTAATGGTTATAGGCAAAATGGCAATTAGCTCCATTTATATGTGGTGCTCTGATGCACAATGACTTAATATATTGTAAGAGAAAAATGCTTTCATCACATCTATTTGGGAAAGAATTTGAATTTTAAAAAGGAAATTAAAAGCTTTCTGTTAATTTATTTGGAACATTTGAAATATCTCAGTTAAAAGGAAGAGTAAAGATTCTTTAATTTAAAGTTACTTTCATCTGCAAGAAATACTAGGATGACTGTAACTGCTTAAAAGATATGACTCAGAAAAGTTTTTCCATTAAAATATATATGTAATCTTCAATGTAGTATGAAACAGAATTGCCTTTTTTCTTCTTCTCTTACTGAAATATAACTTTCTTCCTCACTCTTCCACTTTCTATTAGGTTTCTCTTGCCACAGTGATATTTGTTTCCAGTCAGAAAGCTTTGTCCACAGAAATCAAAACTGTTATCAAACAGCAGCTGGAGAATACCTCCAATGGATGGACAGCCTACAGGATAGCCAGGCAGGCTTCCAGAATGGTAGGTGAAAATACCTGGATTGTTGTGGTTGGAGGGATGCTAATGATTTATTTGAACTGAATAAGAAAGTAAGGAAAATGGTGGGACTTGGGAGCAGGAAATGAATGGGGATGGGGGTAAAAATCATTTTCCTTCCTAATTACCTGGAATGTTGATTCAGAAATAGGCCATTTAGGACACTGATCCCATCAGAATGGTTTCTCACTTGTGTGTTTAAAGTGTTTGAGAAGGAAGTAAGTAGTGACCTGGCACTTTCTTGATCACTTACCTAACCTGTATTGTCTAACTGTTCTTTAGAAGGTGATACAGGTCATCCTGATGTGTCCTTCTCTTTCTTCAATGTAAAGAAAGAAAGGAAAAGATCCTGTTTCCATTTTCCCTTCAGTAAATTCAGAGCTGGGGTTAGAATTACACAGAAACTAGTATGAGATGCTGAGGTGAAAGTAAATGTCAATGTTTATTTCTCCTCTTATTGAACTATCTTGTGTAAATAACTAGTATATACAGGCTCATGTTTCTATAAAATATAAGTTTTTGCCTTTATTTATTGGGATTTTCACGACCAAAGGATTGGAAAAACTTTTACTATCCTATTTTTAAACTAGGGGTAGTTCTGGAGATGTTACTGTTTTGTTACTTTTATTTGTTTTGTAGAAATCCACAGCCTTCTTTCATGTCCCCTTTTAGAAACATTCTTCTCATTACAGGGCAACCATGACATGGCCAGAGAACTGTATCAAAGCCTGCTGACTCAAGTAGCTTCGGAACACTTCTACTTCTGGCTGAACAGCTTGAAGGAGTTCTCCCATGCAGAACAGTGTCTGACAGGTCTGCAGGAAGACAACTACAGCTCAGCACTTTCTTGCATTGCTGAAGCTTTAAAATCCTATCACAAAGGAATAGCATCACTGACGGTCAGCACACATCTCCTGTGGTGGTGATGTTTCTGTGTACTGCAGCATGTGTTTGGTTTCTGTTCTTAAAGCTCTGAAAAATTTTAAAAGATGTGTAGCGTCTGCCAGACTCTTTTTGAGGTGACTGCAGAGAAGTAACACTGCATCTTCAGAGAAAAGATCCTGTAGCTTAGCCAAGTGTGATTAGCTAGATTTTACTTTGGTTTTCCTTCTTCCCCCCACCCCTCATTTCCTGCCTTGATCAGATCACATGATACGTGACAGATCTTGTTTGAAGTTGCAGTACTTAAAATTTTCCACTCCTTGTCTTGGCTGAATAAAAGCCATTGTAATAGTCAAGCCTGGGAATTTGTCAAAATTGGCTGCTATAGAGTAGAATTCAATTGTCTTTCTCCCTCCTGCTGAGTTCATGTCACCTTGTATTTGACAGTGGGATCTTGTGGAATCCTAACAACAAGGCAACACCAGTTTAGAAAGAGGAGGGAAGACAATTCAACTTGATCAAATTGGCAGAATTGAGATGGTACCTGCTTTTATGGAAATACTTTCTGCTTCTCTGAAGTGATAAAAAGAGCATGTCTGTGAATGTAAACAAAAAAAAACCACATTAATGAATAAGGACCTTCAGTTCTTAGTGTGAATTTGCTTCTTAACAAAAGATGATCCAGCTTCACAATACTTTATTTCATATTTTAGTTTCCATGAAGAAATCTTTACTTACAGTTTTCTTTCTGCATCTTCAGTGAAGCTGCTTTTTTTTTTTTTTTTTTTTTTTTTTTTTTTTTTTTTTTTTTTTTTTTTTTTTTTTTTTTTTTTTTTTTTTTTTTTTTTTTTTTTTTTTTTTTTTTTTTTTTTTTAGTTACTGGTACTGTCAGGGTCATGACAGTTCAGATATTAGTGTTTAATAAAGTGCAGATACTGCTATTTATTAATAAAATGTCCCTGAATAAGCAGAAGGGACATAAATTTTACACTGTTATCCTCTGAAAGACCCGTAATTCCTGAAGTGTTTGTCTTTAAGTATTGGCTGAGCAAATAAGGCTTTTAATTCAGTATTTCAAAATTTCTCTAACATGGAGAAGACATTGATCGGAGGACCTTGTCTAATTAGATGTTAATATTAATTACAGGCAGGAAAATAACTTGCTTAAATAGGTCATTCTGTGATTCAGGAATTATATTACCCTTTCTCTAGAGTTTGGGACTTTTTCTCTGTTGATGGATTCCTGTCTTTGTCTCTGCTGACTCCACTTTCTGCATGCTGCACATAATGCTTTTCTGGGTGCAGTACCTACCTTTTGGGTGGTTGTGGTCCAGAGGAGAAAGTACAGGTTTTGTAGGGTTAGAGAAGAGGAAATTTGGGTTTATTGCTGGTTGTTGCTGACTTGTTGCATCACTCTGGACAACTTCCCAACCTGCCTGAGTGTATCAGCTCTAAGAGGAGCCGCTCACTGTTTGCATCTGTAGAATTCTGTATCTCAGAGGGGAGCAAAGTGCCAGAGTGCACCATAGTCTTGCTGCTGAAGACTTTTGCTGTCTCTGCCCCCTGACTTCAGCTTTACCATTGCTGCTGTTTCAGGGCAGAGCACAACTCAGCACTGGTGTTACCCCAAACCAGTGGTGTGTAGGATGAACCCTGTGTAGCTGTTCCTCTTTGTAGCTGGAAGAGACTGTGCTAGTAAATGCGCTGCAGATGTTTAGTCAGCGCGGTTTTGCGATGATGAAACATTCAGACAGTGTCTGATCTTGTCGGAAAATTTCTCAATTCCTCCTTGATCCACTTACAGCTGTCTTGCATTGCCGCCTGCAGAATGTTCTTACATCTGACTTAGTGCACTTGAGGGAAAGTAGTCCCATTGCTTTATGGATGAGAGTTGTATGTGGGAGGACAGGGACTTGCCGTGGAGCATATTGACCACAGTCCTCATCCATTTTGCTGTGTATTTGCTTGTAGAGCTATCAGAAGGTTTGCAAAGGACCTGCTCTTTCTGGCACGAAACATGTGTCTCAGTGGAAGTTTTGTGCTTATTTTTCACTGCTGGTAATCTGAGGAAGATACAAAACTTGAACAAAGCACTAATACAGCCATTGGTTAAGTGGCACTAATTCCAAATATGTTGATAGCAAGTGATGGTGTTTAAAGAACTTGGCTGAGCTAAAGAACTCTGTTAGTTTCAAAAAAGAGTTGTAACTCATTTATTGCCCATGGCTTAATGGGTAGCAGATAAGGTAATTGCAGTATTAATGAGACAAGCTTGTATTTCCATTTACAAGAATCAAGTCCAATTTGTGCTACTAAAAATGTCTGGATTTTCTGATATAAGTACTGGTACTTTACTGTCTTTAAAAGCACGTAGTCTTTGTAGAGCAATTACTGTGCAGTGTACCCTCTTCCACGGAGGGTTTTCTGAAACTACCCATGCAGAATAAACTGAACATTTTCAATTCAAAAGGGATTTTTTTGTGCCCTTGGTGAAGGAAAAGCAGAGTGATAGATAAGAGAGGCTGAGTGGCTCAAGTGATGAAATAGTCTTATTTCTTCAGTTGAAATCTAGCTCAATAGTTTAAAGTGGCTGCAGTCAGCTGATGTTTCCTCAATTTAGTCAATAGTGGGCCAGTTCTCAGATGACGTGATGTTTTGTGAGACACTAGTTAGCTGTTTCTCTGCCAGCAAAAAAATGGTTCTTAGAAGGTTTTGGGATGGCTTACAACTTCTTGCTTTGAGAAGTGACATGCTTACCTGCTGAGAAATAAGAAGCACTGGGAAGATACGCATGAATTTAACATACTTCCATTCTCTGAGCAAGAGAAAGTCCCAGTGCTTTGTTTTACAGCTTACTCCCCCCTCCACCCCAAAGAAAAAGTGTATTCTTCTCAAAATCCAGGAGTTTATATAAAATAAGTTGTGAATTTTTGACTTAACTAGTATCAAACCTTAAGTACTCCAACTTACCCTCTCCTGGGTGTCCTAATCTGTCACAGATGCTTCTACAAGTCAGATAAGCTCCTAGGGAGCAAAGTTTCACAGAACTGTATTTTCTAAATAATAGTGGCTTGTCAACCCTCCTGGAGTTCTGTTATTTACTGTCCTTAGTTATCACTGGATCATGTCTCTTGGCCTTCATCAAATGCAAGGTTGGGGGCCTTCATAATTTTCCCATCCATTTCACAGTCCGAAAAAATCAAAGGTTATCACCCCCATCCTCTTGCTCTGGGTAACTCTAGGTGATTCTTTCTCTTCTGGCTGATGTAGAGAATCACTTTTTCAGTCCTTGTATTTCTCTTTGATATCCACTTCAATGTACTTTCTCTTACAGTAAAGACTATCTGGGCTAATGTCATTTGAAGCCTTATGACTCGGCCTTGGAAAAAGAGGAAATATGTGCCCTAATAACGCTGTAACAGCTTAAGTCACATTTATTACAGGGATGGTATGCTTGCAATATGACTTAGGAATTATGTAACTTCTGTGTCATTTATATTTAGTATGATTTAAATTGAGCAAACCTGCTAAATGTAATTTTAGAAAAAGCATCTTTTAGAACTTGAACTTTAGGATTTAGTTGTCTGATGAGACAGTTCAGTGACACTGCAATGTTATTTTATCATTTTTGCTTGTGACCTAGATTGCCAACATTCCTATTACTGTGTTTCAGGCTGCTAGTACGCCACTTAATCCTCTGAGCTTTCAGTGTGGATTTGTGAAACTCAGGATTGACCTTCTGCAAGCTTTTTCCCAACTTATTTGTACCTGCAACAGCCTGAAAACAAGTCCACCACCAGCTATTGCCACAACAATTGCTATGACATCAGGAAATGATCTCCAAAGGTGTGGACGCATCTCTAACCAGGCACGTGTTCTTGTTCCACTCTTGCGCGGTTCTGATTAGGACTCGGGTGTCAATTTTGCTTCTCAGCAGTCGTATCTTTCAGAAGGAATGAAAAGTATCAGTGAAGTATTTTGCTGAATAGTGGGCCTTGGCTTTCAGCTGTAGCTATAGGAACGCCTGCCTGTAGCAGGCCACGTTCTGAAGCTGAGCGTGTGCACGTTTTCTCATACGCTCACACGCGCAACTTCCAGGGATTGTGCATGTAGTGAGCCCCTCAAACTCGCAGCAAGGCCTTTCACACCTTGTCTTGAAACACCTCAGGTACTGTGATTACACTCATGAAGAATATGTATACCTTGGGATCCTACTGCAACTCCTTTTGGTCAGTGTTGGCAACTGCCTCGATGCCATGAAAAACACCAAGATAGTTTGCGTCTGAAAAGCACGTAGTCTGCAAGAAGGAATCAGTGGGTAGCTTTTGAAAGATAAAGCAGTTTGATTTACCAGTAGAGAATGGAGGAGGTTGTTGCTGGAGTTTTTTTATTTCACTTTATTTTTAACCTAAGGAGTGTATGTTGGTGTTCTGTTACAGCAGAAATGTCTGTTTAGTGCCTGGATAACAGTCTATCATTTTGGTAATTTTCATCTGTGTGAAGAAGCAAGAACTTTATATATTTTGCTGGAGTGTGTTACCTTATTCCTTCAGTGTTGTGTGTGATAGTGTAGTGGTGTTCTGAATGTGTGGTGTTTTGTTTGTTTTGGTTTGATTTGTGTTTTTGACTAGTAACATTGTCTCTGTAGATGAAACACTCGATGGAGGAATTCCGAAACTTGGCTACACGGTATGGAGATCTGTATCAGTCATCTTTTGATGCAGACTCTGCAACTCTAAGGAATGTAGAACTGTATCCTTTTAAAAGCTTATAATTTGTCCACTTGCCTTCTCATGTAGTCAGCACAAAGCTTAACAGTCCTCTTTTCTATAGACTGCCACAAAGTCATTTTGAAGCACTTAACAACGCAAAAATTATGTACCAGTTGCTTAAAACCTAATTGAAAATAAACATTACCACACTATTGTTTGGAATTACTTTATGAACAAATTATGACACAATAATTGGAGCAACACAAAACTTGATAATTTCATAGTTCTTGCTCCATGTTTACTAAACAAGTAACGACTGTAAAATTGCTTCACAAAAGCTAGAGAAACAAGGAAAAGTGCCACTAAATACACTGTATTTCTTGTTTTAGGTGCCAACTTTTTAAGCCTTTCAAGTCCTTAGTATTAATATCAGACAACAGCAGAGCTGCCTTTTGATTTCACATGCAATAGAAGCACTGATTTTGGATCCAGAATCTGCAAGGTAGATTTGATAGTTAACTTCATGCTCCTTTTCTGATTATTTCTAAATCCTTGGAGCTTTAAGCGCTGGAATTTGAAGAATGTTTAGAAAGTTTCTCATTAGACCCTTCTAATTATATTTTGGGCAGACTTAAGGATCTGTTGCTTCTGTGCCATACCTTGCAGGCTGCGGACTGTGTTTTGGGTTCTGCATTTTACGCTGATTTTGCTCGAGAGCACTATACTGGATTTGTTTTAAGTATAGTCATGTATTAAAGTAAAAAAAGACTTTTAATCTCTCCTTTAACCACCTATTTTGTGTCATTCTCTATTAGCTCCCCTGCCTGTTGCTTGCACTTGTAAGTGCACCTTAGCTTCCTTCACAGTTGTGAAAATATATGCACTAGATTAGTTCAAATTTCTAATGTAAATCCATTACCTCTGGTTCTTTTTCTAACAGTGAACTTATATCCACTAGAAAATCACACTGAAGTGCCCATGAACTGAATCAATGTTGTAAACTCCCAGGCTGAGATTAAATGGAAAATACTGTGGAAAAAACCTCTCAGTGATTTTGTAACTGGCAATAAAAATGAGCATCCTAAGTGACTGTAGTGCTCATTATGAATTAAGCATTGCTTAGAATGTGTATTAATTAAACTTATATGAAGCTGGGTGTCGAGGAGATGGCATTGTATTCAGAGCATGAAATTATAAACTTCCAGGTATAGTCTTAATTCTGACTGGCATTCTTGCTTTTTTTTCTGTTTAAAAATGTTATAAACACTGCAGGCTTAAATAAAAGCCAGGGGAAGTAAGCATGCTGAGTCTGTTAGACCTGTAACTGTTTCAAGTGAGAGAGGGTGGGGACAGAAAGTGGTGGCTAAGCTGTAGTTTAGAAAAGTTTAAATGTAAAGAGCAAGTCTTACAGTGAGAAAACAGTAAAGGAACAGAACAAACAGTTTGAAAGACATTCCTTCATGGATTTCAAGTTGTAACAGAGGATGGTTTTGTTGGGTGTGTTTGGCAGTGTGCCTTCCAGGTTATGATGAGGAAAGTAAGTTAGACACAATAATAAGTTTTCTTTTTTTAGTTTCCAGGAATATAGCTCGAATGGAACAGCTCATGTTGAAAGTGAATATGAAAGAAGAATGATGTCTGTATTTAATCATGTGCTAGAGGAAGTGGAATCCCTCAACAGGAAGTATGCTCCTGTGTCTTACTTGGCAAGTAACAGTTTTATTTTAAATGTATATTCTGTAGACAAAGGTGCCAGAAACCTGGCAACTCCATATCTCTATGGATATATGGCCAAGAAACCAAAAAGCACTCTCAGTTAATTAGCACAGCCTCTTACTGGCACAAATGGTCTCTACATAGACACACTACTTCAAAAATACTTCAGAAATGTTTTTGATAAAACACCTGTAACCTTACTGATATGATAAAAAGTAATCTTTTAAAAATTCTGGTATTTAGAGCATAGCAGATGCTGATAAGATAACTGCAAGCACTGTCAACTCTCTGTCAGACCTCTCACCACGCTCACAAACACTGAAGCACATTGTCTCACTTTTCATGCTCTTGTCGTGAAGGAATTCTCCCCCTGCCACACACAGTGCTGGAGGGTCCAGCACTAGCCTAGCTTTGGTCCCAGAGCTGTTGGTGGTTAATGCTGTGTTTTGTGAGTCTTATCTTTGTTTCTCTTATCAGTGCGGGTCATCAGAGAGCACAAAGTAAAGTTTGCTGAGTGCAAACAGCCGGCTGATAACGTGCCCCTTTACAGGGCTTCTGTGGTTCTGTCTTTTACTGTTGGTGAACATCATAAAGCTAAAGTGCATGTTAATGGGAACCACGTAGTTTGTTTGTCATGGCTGGCTTCTGTTTGCCTTATTTCTAAATTCAACAGTGTTCACCAATTCCAAACAGAATAGAAGAATGAGACCCCGTAAACGGTAGCAAAGGTAAACCCTATAAACTTAGTTGTCACTGGCTCTGTACCAAGGCAGCTGGGTGACTTCAGCAGCACTGCTTGACTTCATCTGAGCCAGAAGGGTGGTACAGTGCAGCAGGGAAAGGAAGAGTGGTCAAGAGGCTTAAAACTTTAAGTTGTGACAGATATCAGTCTTGTGTGCTTGGAGAGGAGTTTGTGTGTGATGTTTCTGTGTATGAGTGTTTCCAGCAGATCCCACTCTGCTGACTCTAACACTAGGACTGGAAAGATTTGTATTTTTCTTTTTCTTGGCCTCCTTGTTGTTGTTTCCAGAGCAGAATACCTTCTTCATAAAAGGCAGAACATAAACAGAGAGGCTGAATGTAATCACTGTCATGATAGTGGCTGTTATTCTACGACTGTATTAGTATGTTTCTGGACTTCTAGTGGAAATTACTGCTGTTTCAATACCTCAAGTATGTGTCTTTTTCCTATGCTATTAATGGTATTTTCTTCTCAATTGTTTTGGCTCTGTTTCTTGCAGCATACAGCTTGTCTGTGCAATGCTGTCATTGCCTTGTTGAAGGTGCCCCTTTCATTTCAAAGGTACTTTTTCCAAAAGCTGCAGTCTACAAGTATCAAGGTAAGTACTGCTCAAATGTGGCCTAAAGTTTCTCTTTACAGAGTCTTTGTTTCATGAGAAAAGCCCTCCTGAAAGCACAAAGCTTCAGCATTTTTAGTGAAGATACTTAACTGCAAATAGCATTTGGGTTTATCTCTTAGGAATAAATTGAATACTATGCATGTATGGTCGTTGAGAACCACTAGTTCTGGTCCTAGGAAGGCAGCTTTTATAAATTTGTATTGTTTTTTCATTTAAAAAGCAAGGTTTACAATCTTGAAGAAAATTGTAATATGTATCAGCTGACGGAATACCTATATGTGATTATGATCATATTTTTTTTGGTTTATATAAGTGCTCCTTTTTTTCTGGGAAAAAGGAAAACCTCAAGTTTTTTAATATTTACTCTTATTGCATTTCACTTCTTTGTTCAGCTTAGTATACTTACTTGTGGCTGTTTTGGGGAAGATTTTTTTCCACATCTTTTGTGCATGTGTAGTAATGAAACTGATATAAATACAATATCTGATGTTTCTGCTTATTAATTAATATAATAACAGGTCTCAGAGAACTTCTGTTTTTCCGTTTGCTGGTTTTCTTGCCAAACCTCTCCTTGGAAATTTTTCTGTAAGAAGGTGTCCTGTTTCATCCTTCAATTGTGTTTGCTTTTCTGGAGGGTTATAGTTACATTTTGGTCTGTTTACTTGTGTTTCAGCTTGCTCTATCCCCATCTCCAAGGAACCCTGCAGAACCTATAGCAGTACAGAACAATCAGCAGTTGGCCCTGAAGGTGGAAGGAGTGGTTCAGCATGGATCTAAACCAGGCCTTTTCCGCAAAATCCAGTCGGTCTGTCTAAATGTCTCTTCGGTGCTGCAGAGCAAATCTGGACAAGACTATAAGGTATGGATAGAATAGAGCCAGGAGGAGTCTGAAGCTCTTTTGGTGTGTTTTCCCGTTCTTTTGTTTGACTCTGGTTAGCAGAATTTTCAGGTTGAAGTGAATGGGTGGTTCTGTTGTTCTTTCACTGCTGACAGTTGACGTTTGAGCACTGGCCAGAGCCAGGCATAGTGCCTGGAAGGGATCTGGGATTTTCAAGTCTGCTCTATGCTAATACCATTTTAGAAACAGCTTTTCTTCCGAAGAAAGAGGCTTTGTGATGTTCAGAACAAGTCATTAGACATCTGCTTGGTATCAGGAAAACTCAGCCTAGGTATATATCGTACAGAACTCCACAGGACAAAAAAAACCCAGGAGCACATTAATTTCTACCACATAGTCACTAAACTTATTTATTGTCATTTTAAAGTTCTTTTATTTTGTTTATGGAAATCATGAGGACAGACTGTCCAAATTAAAGAGCATCTGAGGAGGTACATATTAAATTTAACTAACAGTTTTATCGAAGATTGCATGCCTGCAGTTGAGATTCTGCTGATGTGTGGTATTTGGTGAAAGGCCTGTTTTGGGGCTGGGTTTTTGCTTGGTTGATTGGGATTTTTTGAGGGGGAAAAGGAGAAGGTGAGTAGCTTATAAAAAAACAGAACTAGGAAGTGTGTAATGTTTGACCTGTATTACTCTGTGGAAAACTAGAACCTCAGACTTGTTAGCTACCTTGCTTCTTGAGAGTAGTTTTAAAAACTCATTGACGAAAAAGCGTGTCAAACTGTCTCAAACATGCACTGGTTTAGGAAAATTGAGGACAAAATTTTCCCTCTTTTTTTTTTTTCCCCTCTCTCTCAAATGGAGAGCAGAAAACTTATTTTTGACAGGTTTACATGAAGTTACATTTTAACCTTCCATCTCTGTTCTCAGATTCCTATTGACAGCATGACTAATGAAATGGAGCAGAGGGTGGAACCACACAACGACTACTTCAGCACTCAGTTTCTGTTAAATTTTGTGATACTTGGCACCCACAACATCACAGTAGAGTCCTCTGTGATAGATTCAAATGGTATTGTCTGGAAAACTGGGCCTAAAACAACTATTTTTGTTAAATCTCTTGAGGATCCATACTCCCAGCAGGTCCGTCTTCAGCAACAGCAAGGACAGCCGCCGTCCCAGCAGCAACAGCAAAGAACTGCATACTCACGGTTTTAATCCCCAGAAGTGACTGGTCAACTGGTATTGCAGTTTTTCTTGGACTCTTTTTTTTTTTTTTTTTTTTTTTTTTTTTTTTTTTTTTTTTTTTTTTTTTTTTTTTTTTTCTTTGAAAGACCTACAATTGTAACCTTCTCCTAGAAGGCCCCAGATGCTTTTTAAATTATCTGGGGTAAATCTGAACTCGATTCAGCAGAGGCAGCTGTTCAAATTTGGAGTTGTGCTCTTACTATAAGAACTTCTACCTGATCTCTTAACTTCTGTTTACAAACCTGTTCCAGCAGGCTCCACAAACTGTGATAGCAGGGGACACTCTAAGAGCTCTTTGACTGGTACTTTCTGTGCTGTCATTTTTTGAAGCACATAGGTTCTCATGTTAGGCTTACAGAACATCAGTAAACCCCTTGGCTGGTTATACAGAACTGAGTGTAATACCAAGTTTGTATCTTTTAATGTGAAGCAATTGGCAGGAATATCCAGAGACTTTTATTTCTGACATTTTAATGGCAGCTTCTAGTATTTGGCTGGTGTATGTGTGTTATTACAATTCATCAGCACTACTTAATGTATGCATCTGGAAGAAAAAAATTTGCAGCTCGCTTCTCATACCCAGTCACTGAAGAGGGAGGAGACTGCTTGAGGGGTTGCTGTCTGGGGAGGTCTGCAAGAGGCAGAGTTTTACAGGGGGGAACAATCACTGTTTCTCAGATGATAGAGAAAATATTACTACATTGGTTTTAGATTTTCATGCATCTGTATTTCTGAAGCCTTTCATTTTGTGTGTGGGGGGGAGTATTTGTTTATGAGAGAAGTTAACTGGCAAATGGTCATTCATTTTTAAATGCTTTGTTTTTTAAAACGAATCTTCTGTACCAAAGCCTTGTCATCTCGTGTACTCTTTGACCAATTTCCTAATCTTAATTGTTACTTTTGCAATATAACTTGAAAGAGATTTTTGCCAATACTAAAAATTGATTCCGGATAATTTTGGAAATACACTGCTTCGTACATAGTTTTCATGTTTCCTTTGTGACATAAAAGGCTGAAACTCTGTCTGTGCTCAGACTCACAGGCAATAGATCACGTAGCATGACCTTCACCTGGTCCTCATAAATAATCTCTGCTTTTTAGTCTGCAGGAAAGTAGAACCCACTTGACTGGGGAGGAGGAAGGATGGCACTTCTTATAGACTTCGCTTAGTAAATGGTTTGATCCCCCTCATTGCAGCAGAAATTTTCATTGTTATTTTCTTAGTAAATTCCTAAGATACTGTTATTTGTTCAAGTTGATTACACTGTAGAAGCTGTCTGGAGCTTGGGGAGATTTTGTTTGCTTTATATTTGGAGAATATAAGGATGAATTTTATAAGCTAGGGTTTCTTTGGCATAGCTGAATGAAGAATTTTTTGCTGTGTTTTCCCGCAGTAGTTACCTAAGAAATCAACTTTCATCCTCTTGGCTTGAGACTAATGAAAAAATAAAAATGGAAGGGATCATGCTAGATGTCATAATATCTTGGTCAGGCTGTAATCATAACTAGAAAAGATAATTGAGATACAAAGTTGAAATAGAAGACCCACAAAGTTGGTGAAAAATTCACCAGCGTCCTTCTTAAATCTGATTTTTATTTTGTGCAGGAGACAGAAACTCCCACTGCCTTTCAAGCTGACTGGGGAAAGTGGTGGTTTCTGTCCCCACTTTTGTGGTTCTATGCCTATAGTTTTGTGTGCTTATGTGTGTACATACACCTGTGTATGGACACATACATACGTGTATCTATACATCTAACATCTCTGTGAATGACTTGGATGCAGAACTAGAGGAAATACTAAACAAGTTTGCAGATGACACAAAACTCGGAGGAGCTGTTGACTCCCTCAAAGGCAGGGAGGCCCTGCAGAGAGCCCTCGACAAATCAGAGAACTGGGCAATCATCAACTCTATGAATTTCAACAAGGAAAAGTGCTGGATTCTACACCTGGGATGGAGCAACCCTGGATGTTTGTACAGGTTGGGGAATGAGATGCTGGAAAGGGACCTGGGGGATATGAGTCAGCAGTGCCTTGGAAACCTGGAGGACCAACTATGTCTTGGGGGGGCATCAGGGAAATCATCACCCGCTGGTCGAGGGAGGGGGTTGTCCTGCTCTGCTTTACTCTGGTGTGGCCTCACCTTGAATATTGTGGCAGTTTTGGGCACCACAATATAAGAACGACCTTAAACTGTTAGAGAGTGTCCAAAGGAGGGCAATGAAGATGGTGAAGGGCCTTGAGGGGAAGATGTATGAGGAGCAGCTGAGGTCACTTGGTCTGTTCAACCTGGAGAAGAGGAGACTGAGGGGAGACCTCATTGTAGTCACAACTTCCTCTTGAGGGGAAGAGGAGAGGCAGGCACTGATCTCTTCTCTGTGGTGACCTGTGACAGGACCTGAGGGAATGGCCTGAAGTTGTGTCAGGGGACGTTTAAGTTGGATATTAGAAAGAGGTTCTTCCCCCAGAGGGTGGTTGGACACTGGAACAGGCTCCCTAGGGAAGTGGTCACAGCACCAAGCCTGACAGTTCAAGAAGTGTTTGAATGATACTCTCAGGCACATGGTGTGACTCTTGGGGATGGTCCTGTGAAGGGCTAAGGGTTGGACTTGATCCTTGTGAGTCCCTTCCAATTTGGTATATTCTGTGATTGTATAGCTGTGTCTTGTTAGATGGTCCAGAAAGAGATACCTGGTGTTTGTGTATGCAACCTGTCAGATTGAAGATCTGAACTTTTTGTGGTTAGTTGTGTTTTTTCATTAAAGCTGTAGATCAGTGTCTTAACCACAAAATCCTCAGTATTGTAATGCAAAAAAACAAAACAAAACAAAACAAAACACCCCAACTTTTCATTCTGCATAATGAATGTGTGTTTCTTGCTCTCTTATTGGCCAATGTTGCTGGAAACCTGTGAACTCAGAAATTACAGGACATTTTAAAGCTCGGGAACAACTTTCTTCTAAGTCATGTGGCATTCACAGTGCATAGCTAAACTTAGGAGGAGCCTAGTTGAAAAAAAACACCTTATCTAGAGAAAGCCCTGCTCTGGCCTGAGTCTTAACTGTCTGTTAGCAGGTAAGATTAACCCTGCTACAGTTGAAAAAATTATTCCTTCTCCAGTCAAGTTTGCTTGCCTGATCTGAGAGAGGCCTCTAGAACTCTGAGAACTTGTATCAGTTTTTGGAGCCAGGCAAATAATAAAGTCTGAAAATCTGGATGTTAGGTATGGGAGACTGCAGGATGAGGGTAAATGTCTTTGGAAAATTGCAAGTACTATTTATTGGAAATTAGCTTGTATAGGAAAGTTACTTGCTGTGCAAATATCTGTATTTCTAACAAACTCTGAAGGATTTCTTATGGTGGCTCATTTAGAGATGAGTTATTTTTGTGTGCTGATTAGGGAAGACCTTGGACCTGTTAACAAATCGTCCTTTTATATAAGCACAGTATTTCACTTTATGTATGAGGTTATTTTTTTGGGTGTGTGATTGATTTGTTTTCTAGCATTGTGTATTTTTATTCCTAATACACAATGAAATACACTTGGCAAACAGAAACCAAGATTTGTATAGCAAACAATGACTCAAAATGCCTACAGAGAAGTCAGGAAGGGTGTTAGAGTTACAGCAATATACAGAAAGCTGCTGTTGGAGCTATCACCAGTGAATATGATCCTTGACTATTAATAGAAGCAGGGAGGTTATCTTGCTTGAATCCTGCGTTCTCTCTCTGGTGCCTGTACTTGAAGATGTGCAACAAAGAATTTGGAAAGTACTTCTTTGATACAGACCCAAGTTAAATCTCCTTAGCGTTTCTCAATAAACAAAACAGTAACTTCACCACTACTCATAGCTGCACCCTGATAATGGAAGACAATTCAGATCTGTTTCACTCATTGGCAAAAGAAAGAAAATACTCAGTGGCTAGATACTAGTCTTGAGGCAGCTGCTGAGAATACAAACAACGGAAAGGCTTATGCAGAAAGCTGCATCATGATCTGGTCCTAATCATTAAGATATGCTTTCATCTAGGTTTGATAAATTGTTGGGCTGGGGAAGGGTGGAGGTGATTGAGTTAAAATGACTGGACGTATTGATAAAATGTGCAGTTCTGCATTAACACAATAGTTACTGCTGCTTAGGCTCTATAATTTGACTTGAGTTCTCCTTGAATGATGTAGCCAGTTACTCTTTGAAGTACTTACTACTCACATTCTTGTGAACATGTGCTCAGGCATACCAGAAAGTGTCATTTCTAGATTCCTGGCTAATCCCTTGCTCAAGGCAATGTGGAGCTCAACACAGAGCAGGGGAAGGAATTTCCCCTGTCAGATTCTAACTTCCTCTGGAATTCAGAGTGTAATCTCCTGCTAAGGTCGTTCAAGTGTGTTTCGTAAGTGATTCTCTGAAGTTGCACTCATCGTGGGTATTCATGGCATCTTAGACTTCCCTTCCTGGTTTTGTTTCCTTGGATATGCCCTCATTTTACCCGAGTACTGAAATGCTTTAATTTAGCTAAGTTTTTTTATTACTTTATAATGGATATATGTATATCTTTGACTTTAATCCTGTGAAACTGCAGAAATTGGACAGGTCTAGAAGCAAGTTCAATATTTCTTTACACATACACATAAACTTTGAAGAATCATTTTATTTAGTGATGTCACAACTTTAGGTAAAAAAAATACACCAACTTTGTTGAAAGAATTGAGAGGGTTTGAATGAATTATTTTGCATTCTTAAAATATCTTTTGAATGATAGTCAGTGTGTATGGGTATAGAGAAAGAGAGATCTCATACAAGAGGTTGTACTGTCTCATACTTCCTCATCAGTATGGAAGCATCTTCCTTCAAAGTAGCTACATTTCTTTTCTGGCAGTTGTCTTTCTGTTCACCTGCAGTGCTTTGCTGTCTCCTTGGTCAGCATATTTACACACGTGTCCTTTTAATTCTTGCCAGCATCTTCTCCGAACAATCTGTTCCTTTTTGTGCAGGTGTATTCAGGTATCTGCATTGTGCAGGCCAAGAGGAGATGGGGAAAAGCAAGGGTAGAGGGGGGAACCTCGGAGCCCTGCCAGCTCTCAGAGCAGGTCTGAGTGGAGCCCAAGAACTGGTAGTTCTTTCTGCTTGATGTGTCCAGCACTATTGGAGCTGCTCTTGCCTCACACATGTAGATGCCTTCAAGGACACAGCCTTAAATGCTAAGGAAAACGAGGCTTATCCAGAACCTGGGCTTACTGATCTCCCAAGCAGAGAGTTATAGAGACAAAAGTGCTTCTTGAAATCAAAGGAAAACAAAGTCTTACATTTCTTTTCTTAGAAGGCATATTATGCAGTGTTGCAGTTACCTTCTTCATGTGTGGATTTTTATGCCAGGTGCTGTTTTGCGTTACCAGGAAACAAGCCTATCTTAGTGCTGACCCTAGATAGTTCCTGGGCTGTTTGCACTCTGAGGGACGCCTCTCTGACGAACAGCAGCTTCTCAAATTCACTGCTGAAATCACAGATTATGTGTATTTCAGTGAGCAGTCATCCCAGTTCTTCTGCACACTTTGGAAAGTTGCTCTGATCTGCTGACAGATGAGAAATAGGAAGTATCTTCTTGAGGTTCTCATTTTCTTTTAGGATCAAGTCTTTACCTCTTGCTTGCCCACTTCAAAGCAAAGCTGTCAAAATTAAGGACAGCTTCTGTATGTTCTTGAAGTTTGCACTTAGCCTCAGCCTCCTGATCCAAGGATCTTAGCCAAGGTAAGAACAGTGTTCAGTGACTTTTGAGAGAAAAAACTTTCTGAGATTAGAAAGAGCCTGTGACAATGTCTTAAACACTTTCATCTACTGGACACCTAACTAGTAAAAAGCTGATCTTTATTTTTTTGTGATTTTTCATTTCAGTGCTAAACCAGTGACCCAGTAGAGCAAAGAGATACTGAAGCTCTTTTATTGTATAATTATAAAACTTAGGCCATAGCCATTTCACAGACTTAAAAACCATCCCTTCTTTCTTTTTCTATAGATAGGGAACATTCACATTCCCTCACATTTGAGTGTGGAGTTCTCAAGAAGCCTTTTAAAACTGTAATTAATAAAAGCAGTTGTTTTGAAGGTCTTTTTAATGGGTATCAATGGTGACTACAAAGCTCTGAAGAAGATAGGATAAAATAAGAGACTCATGTCGTTGACTGATTTAAAATACCTTTGTTCAACATTTTAAGTATGTGGCTTGTTGGCAATCCATTTTATGGAGCCCTTCCTTGCTTCCTAGAAGCGCTAAATTTAGGAATGCAGTTAATGTGAAATTAAGATGTTTAACACGCAGCTTCTAACTACAGGACAAAACCAAGGAGTAGGAGCTGAGCTGGACGAGACTGTGATAAATATAAACTGAATGGTATGTGGATGGATGGACTCTGCCAAAGATGGTAGGTGAATCCTCAGGGTACAGTTTCATGCTTCACTTAACACAGTCTAGGTGTGTTGGCATTGCTGAAAGGGACTCTCCTGTGCTTATTCATGACTCCATCTTTGCTCTTTATATCAGATCACGAGTTTATCCAGTTAAAACAGTTTCATTTGTCTAGAGTGTTTTCTCAGCTGAATCAGCAGGTTTATCTTGACTGACTGTACAGCAACTTGAGCAACAAAATCAGTACGAGAAAGGTGCTGGGTAAGACGTATGGTGTATCCTAGAGGTAATAATCAACTGTTGGACTGACTGACCCTACATCTGCCGTGTATTTCCATATTTAACACGGGTCTGGAGGCAACAATCTGTTCACGTACATCTGAACTGTGGCATTTCTGCACGGCCAGCTCGGGAGGGCAGAGATAACTGCAGTGGTTACCAGCCAGCTGTCCGGCCTTCCCGTCTGCTGTGAGTCACCACCCACGAGTGAGGTGACAGCAGGGAAGAAATACCCTCGTGGAGCCGTGGCTGAGGCCAAGCCTGGGCTGTCAGTCTCTGCTCTGAGTAGGTGAGGGGTGCTTGAATACCTCCTGATTTGCCAGCAAAGCATGTGGGCAGCAGCTGGCAATTGGGAGCGATGACGGCTGTCCAACTCATCTTGTTCCACAAAATCCCAAAGTGTGCAGATGTCAAAGTTCTGATTGCAGGTATTTTAGTTTTACTGGTATTATTCCTACATAAACACTTGGAAATCTTGGCCAAAGCTAGCCTTTTGCCACTTAGTTCTTAAATACCCTGGCACTAGTTTCATGGATACATATTTACAGAAACTGGTCTGTGCAAATGACAGTGTTCAAACTAGATCATTGAGTAAAGTGGAAAAGCAACATGGATGGAGACTTCTCAGAGCTAGTCATCCACTTCAGAGATATAAGAAACTTCAGGAGTTGTAATAATTGACAAAAAATGTGGTATGACCTCTTCAGAAGGTCTTTCCTGGCTGCAATGTACGAGCTCTGATAGTTTATTTCCTCTGTGTCTCTGTAACTAGTAGTGAATTGATATGCATTTTCACTCTTGCAGAGGTAAAAGTTTGCCTGACAATCTTCTGCGCCCTGTTAAAGACATGCAGAACCTTTCCTGTTTCTCGTGTTGTAAGGGTTTGCATGTTAGTGTGGACAAACTCTTTGTGAATTGGGTAGGAATTTCTGAGAGCATTAATTCCGAATGCATCTGGGTAGTACAACCCACACAATAGATCCCCTGGAGAGGTTTATATTTCTGTTAGCGTGAGCAAATTAGGTTAAGAACAAAAATATGCACCGATTTTCATTTTTAGAGGGAGTAGGGCAGTACAGGAGAACCGTAAGAATAGCTTGAAGGCTGTGTGTTTAGTTCTATTTTTGATATCTCAGCCTGACCATAAAAAGAGCACTTAGTTGTTGTGTTGGTTTTCCTTTTTAAAACAAAACAAAACCAGGTAACAACAACCACCTCCAAAACCCTAATTCCTTATGCTTTCAGAGTTTTAGGAATTCACTGGTCCTGTGGACATAAAAATTGAGCTGGAGAAAATGGACATTGTGCTGTTTTGTGGAGGGATATTTTTTCTTTTTGTACAGGAAAAGGAGGACACAACGCATGACTCTTAACTGTGCTGCAATGCTTCCAGTAGTTCAGCTTGGCAAGATGACAAAACCAGATCAGAACTGAGATGGAAATTAATGCTTTTGAGGAAAAAAAAAAATTGTCATGCTGATTTTTTTTTTTTTTTTTTTTTAATTAAAACTTTTCTCAGCAAAAACCAGTATTGCAGATCAGGTGCTCATGTTTAGGTCTGTCCCTTAATGATGTGAGTGTACTAAATGGCAGATGGGAATGTTGATGATTCACTGAAAATATTTATGTATGTATTAAACACTACCTTGCCAGAAAACAGCTTACCAAGAGGGTTATGGATTTAAAATTTGTTTTCAGTGGAGCCTGTTCTGTAGTACAAATACATTGAGCTCTTACTGTGAAAAGACAGATGGGAGAGCCCTCTGTGATGCCCTGCTTAATCACCTCAGATGTGCCTCTCTGCTTCTCTTGGGCTTCATGCTTTCTCGGCACTGCCCTTACAGTCATGGCTAATAACACAGCGTTTACACAGGCTGTCCTGATTTCAGACATCTGTTGCCAAGTCAGCCACTGTTTACCTGTGATGTAGTTTCTCTAATTCATGAGTTCTCACTTATGTCTGACCGCTTACCTCCTGCTGGCAGAGACGAAAATATTCTTTGCTATGAAAAACTACTGGGAGATTGACATCCTCTTCCTGCTGTAAATCTCTGACCACTTCCAGCAGGTCCAAGGCAGCCCAGGGAGAAGTTGGCATTGACCGCCTCAAACACTCTGCTACGCAATCTGAATAAATTTGAAAAATGCCACTTTTAATCTCTTGAGCTTTTGCTTTCAGCTGCTTCTCTACAATCATGATAGCCATAAATCACGTTAAGCATAATCTCATTCCTCGTTTTTATTTTTAGTACTTGACTCCAGGAAGTGTGGCTTACAGAAAAAATAAATTAAAGAACCAAATGTTCAGTAAAATATGTCCTTCCAAAAAAATTTGTCCTTTCAATAATATTGTTAGACAATTCATTTAGCTTTGATTTGGTCTTTAAATACCTAGTCTTGGTGGGCTGTGCCTGACATATTTGGCCATTCAAGGAGTAAAGGAACAGCAGCATAGGAACTCAATAAAAGATTTACAAGCCAAGTGTCTTCCACTTTAACTTGTGGGTGGGAGTTGGGCTGCACTTGTGTGACTTGCAAGTTGACAAAAGTTAATGGCAGGTAAATGATTTAAAAATGTATCACTGCAATTATCACTTGTTTTGTTTCCTCATCTCCACCCTTTGGAAGTGGGAAAAAAACCCCAGCATCCTCTGGTTGTGCTCACAGAAATTATTACAACTAATAAAGTTACTTATTTGGTAAACTACAGTAAAGCAATATTGAGATCGCTGGAAATAAAAACATAATTCATTTTGTCTTCTACCTTTACTTCAGGAAAGACTGACTAGTGTTCTAAAGGAGCTGTGGAGCCTGGGTTAGTCATAGCAGTTTACCTGTTTGAGCTGTGATTCATTTGTGCCCGTTCTTAGTTCCAGTTGTGCTGTTGGTAATGAAAAATTGACGTCTGAAATTACAGGAGAGAGGCAGAAAGGACTTTGTCCAGCAAGAGAGCAGCAGTTCTGCCTGAGACATAATTTATTCACCAGTGATTTGGTTACTCAACAGTCTACATGGATTCATAAGCCATTCACAGGAATCGGATTTCTAAACAGGACGTGGACAAAAGTTTCCTTTAACGTAGGACAAATGCCCTTCAGGCTGTGCTAGGGTTGACACCGGGCACAGGATCTCTGCCATGGTTCTGTACTGGACTTCTGTTGAAATGAGGTACATAATTGATGCTCAGCAGAGGCAGTTGAGACCATGACTCATTTGTGCCTCTCTAAAATATTAAACTTTCAGACCACTTTAATTCCAAGCCTGGCAAGATACACAACCTGATACAGTAAAATATTTATCTGTGTTATCCAGACAGTGGCCAAAGAATCCAGTAATTGCAAAGAATGCCACTTGTGATTGATGTCTTTATTTAATTATTTTCTTTAATTATTTTGACAACCTAGGAGTAGAAGGGACTGCAGTTGAGTGGCATTCTACTTACTAAAGTATGTTAGAGATGTGTGAAAGCCTTGTATCTTTTCTTCAAGAATTTAAGCCTTTAAAGTAGCTGTGCCTGGGTAAGCAACTGATACTCTGAAAGGGGATGAAAGAGAAGAGAAACTGGACAAACTTACACTTCTGTAGTAGCAAAGATTAAAGATGAATTCTAAAAGAGAATTTGAAAAGGGCCTTGAGGTATTTAAGTTTTGGTAGGGGGATAAATATTAACTGTGCATTTAATAAAAGCACTCAAATAGCACGTTAAGTAATGAAATCACTGATTAAAGACTAATTTAAATGCTCTTGATGATCAAGTCTAGTGTAACAGAACTTGTATTTCTTAACTGCTAAAACTAGAACCTCGTCTGTAAGCATTCTTTTTAATCTAGCTGGTAGTAATGGCTGGAATTTAAATGCTCCTGCACTTGTGTATGCATTACTTTTTTTAATGGCCTATCCAATAGCATTGTATCACAGATTCAAAATTTGGTTTTCGTGCAGCTGCATAGGCAGCTCGGTTGAACTCTGTTTGCAGACAACAGATGTACTTAGGAGTGGCCTTAGCCTGGAACTGAATGCATGCAAATGGCTCTGTATGTGAAACCCTAAACTGCACTGACAAATCTGAGTATTCCAGCTCATGTTTCCCTGCATAATGAACTCACTGACCAGTACGATAAGATGATACAAAAAGTCATCTTTGGTGTATACACAATACCTAGGTTCAGATTAACTGCTTTTAATGAGTAATTCATATTGTTTATCTTGTACATTCATTTCTATCCATTCATTGTGCATTTGCATGCGTTGTGATGGCCTTTTGTAGAAACCCGGCAGGATTTTTATAACAGTTCAACTGAAATTCAGTGTGGACTAGAAAACTCTTACAGGCTTGGTAGGAACTCAACAACACAGCTCACAGGGTAAAGAACTTTTGTGGGCAAGGGTACAGAGAGTTTTTCTGTGGTATTCAACGCTTTTTCTGTGGGAACAGACTACTAATCCAGTGCATTTTGTGCGGTTGTTTCATTTGTCATCTGTTTTAAAGATGGTGACCAGAGACAGTGTGGGGTTTTGGCAGCTGCTGATCTCTGAGCTGCAGGATTGCATGACTCAAGTTGCATGTTTTTATCTTTTTGTTTTGATGATAAAGTCAAGTGGTGGTGTTCTCCAAGGCCTCTGGCAAATACTGGTGAAGAATGACTGCTTTGGGTGTGTTGGCTACAGTAGTGATTTGCAAATCTTCCTGACTTTCTACAAGGGTCTAAGATTCTTCAGAGTATATTATGTTGTGTATTTGAGCAATTTTATGTGAACACTTTATTAACTTTTTTTTCCCTGCAATCTATTGCCTTCATTCTGAAAATTCACAAGTGGGTTTTACTCAGTTGTGTCTTCATTCAACTGCTAGCTTGCACCTTTTCATCCATCTCAAGACATAATCCACAAGTTGTCCAGAACACCAGTGTTTGCACCCAGTCCTTCCAAATATAACTAGTGATTCTTTTTGTAGTTCCCTTAAGTTATCTCTGCAAAAGTTGTGATATTTTGGAGTTTATGTCAGAAAGAGGAGCAGAATGAGCTCCAAAATCCTGTGGCTATCTGTGGTGGGGCAGCAGGGATCACCCTCACAGTCACTGATAGCCTCTGCCTCATCAGGCCGTGTTAGGGCTGCTGTCTTCCTTCCTCACAGTTCACTGAGAAAATTTAGTGGCCAGGAGCGAGTGTTAAAGTGCTTTGGCAGCATAATGAAGAGCAGAGACTCCTCACCTGGAATGTAAGCCTTTCTGCTATAGATTTGGACATGTGTAATTTATGTTTGCTTGCAGTCCTAGTTAGTGCTTCTGCTGTCCAGGCGAGCGGAGCCCCAGGTATGTTTTTGTGGACTCATCAAATGTCTGATGTTGGGTTGGGTTGGGTTGGTTGGTTGGGGGTGTTACTTGTTTGTTTGTTTTTTAATGTATACCACATCCTCAGGGAGGAGATG